ATTCCTTTTCTTGTCTTCTTTGTCTGTCCAACATGCCGTTACTGGTTTCTTTTCATGCAGCTTTTAAAGAGTCACAGTGTCATTTCACGCAGACTTCCCCCCCCCCCCATGATGTTTATAAATGTCTTCAACTTTGTCCTGATGACTGCTGGGAAGGTATCCTTTGTAGCGCTACCTCCTTTAAATTCTCAGTGTTTAGCTTGAATGGTATTCCACCTTCAGATTTTTTTTTAAAGGCTATCAACTGGATCTTGAAGGTTCCTTGCACTAAGTAGTCTGGTCTGAGCTTACATCTGCTCCTCTTCTCGAACATATATGTCCAGTAGGCTGCTGCGTCTATACTTTCTTCACACTGTTATGAAGTATATCTGATTTATGATATGTTCATCTGATGATACCTACATCAATCACCTCATAGATATTAGGCGAGGACAAAATTTCCAACAAGAAATATGCTCCAATATTACCTCTCAACATAGGCGACGGGAACTTTGCACTTAATCAAGTTGAGCATCAGTTCAACTGGCTTACTTACATCCACGCTGAATTAAACCACCGTCCAATACCTACACCTGAATGGTGGTGGTGATGACGGTGGTGCAGTGTAGATGTCGCTCCGCTAACTGAGGTCAGTGAGGTTTCCAAACTTGTCCTTAATCTGAACAGAAAACGTGCTGCTCAAACCCTATCTCCCACTCAGAACTACCCAAGGAGAAATAATAATCACATGATCTCGGTTATAACAATGCAATGTCAACAAACCGAAAAACCCTGATGAAAAACGGTTTTCCGCCCAGGTTCATAGACAAAAATCTCAAATCTAAGAAGACTTCAGAACAAGTCCAATCCGTTCCAAAGAAAATACTTCTGCCTAAACTAGAATTCAAAGGTGATATGAAGCAGAAATCCTTCACAAACGCCTCTCCGAATCGCTGAGGAAAACATACATCGCCGCGAGTCTACGACTGATGTTTTCTTCCAAGAAACTATTCAGCCAGAACGTGAAAGACAAGCCATCACATTGGGCCACCTCAACGTGCATATACCAGTTTACTTGCTCTCTGGTGGAGCTGAGTGCATCGGCCGTACCATGCACCGACTTGGAAAACGCGCTCGTGAACACTACTTAGCCTGGCTAGTAAAAGGAGACCAAAAACGTGTATACAGTTCAGTGACATCATCTGGTCAACTCAGGACATTCAGCTCCTTTCGAAAAATCCTTCAAAGTAATATACAAGATTCAATCAAACCTGTTAAAGGGAGTCAAATCAAGACATCTGGGCATAGCTGAGGCGTTAGCTATCCAAAAACTCAAACCCCACCCTTTGAATCCAAAAGAAATACGTCCAACCCCTGTCCCTGCCATGGCCATCATAAACAGGTAAATTTTTTTAAATAATGACCATCCCATCGCCTTTCTTATCAAAACTTCCTGTTTATTCATGTTATTTTAAGGTTTTCTTAATCCCTGTCTACACTACTATATTTTCATATGCACATTTCCTGTTTATTTTGTCATTTTACTATTTCTACATATTTAATCCCTGATTGCATGAACAATTATTTATCACATTAGTTTTTTATCCAAACATCCTGTCTAACTATTTTGTTATTTCTACATTTCTAACCCCCAATTGCACAATGTCAATCTTCTTAGTTATTATAATGCTACTTTGTTTGAGTTTTATCCTTCCTATCCCCCTGTTTATTATGGCATTCTAATTCCTAATTGTAATTTTTTATTAATTTGACCCCTAACCGGAAATTACTCTGGAACTTTCCCATCCGCCATTTGATATAAATACACGAATGTACAGCTGCCTAGTTGATGATGACTTCGTCGAAAAGAAAAGCTTTTCTTCGCTGCAATTGTCTTTTTACAATAAAATACATTTCGACAGCGTTGACCGCGAAGTAATTTGGAAACTACTCGAGTACTACGGCCTACCCCAAATATTCATCAACCTTATTCAGCAGCTGTACGACAACGGCACATGTCAAGTGATCCACAACGGAAAACTCAGTGAGGCGTTTGGAGTAAACACAGGAGTCAGACAAGGGTGCTTATTATCACCAATGATATTCGTAATTGTGGTGGACTGGATTATGCGTCGTCAGACAGTAGGAAACGAGAAGACAGGGATATCCTGGACCGACTTGAAGAACCTAGAAGACCTGGATTTCGCGCGTGGATGATTTATGTTTAATGTGACACAAAATCGAAGACTTACAAGCGAAAACCGACAAACTGGTCGAAGAAGCAGCAAAAACAGGACTATCCACGTGAACATAGACAAGACAGAGGTTAGGAAAATAACCAACCAACCAACAACAACAACCGCAGCAACATCCAGCGCCAATCACCATCAACGGGAGGGATTTGAAAGAGGCTGCTTCATTCACTTATCTAGGGAGCATTGTCTCAACTACAGGAGGAACGGACGACGATGTCAAATCGAGAATCGGTAAGGCGAGAAACACATTCATCAACCTGAAACAACCAATCTGGAAATCTTCGTCACTCAGCAACACTCAACAACAAAATTCGGATTTTCAATACAAACGTCAAGTCAGTCAGTTCTTCTATACGGATGAGAAACTTGGCGAGTCACCAAGAATATTTTCAACAGGTTGCAAACCTTTATCAACAACTGTCTTCGTTCTATACTGAAGATTAGATGGCTGGAAAGAATCACAAACAAGAAGCTATGGGAACAAACAAAACAGGAACCAATCGATCAACAAATATGCAGGAGAAAGTGGAGATGGATTGGACACTCGCTGAGGAGGCCACTCGCTGGGTGACATCACGCGTCAGGCCATCGCTCGAGTGGAACCCGAAAGGGAAGCGGCGAATGGAGGAGATCGTGTGATGAAGAACTGAAACAGTATGGATTAACATGGATGCAAGTGAAAAGTACAGCAGAAGACAGAAGAAAGTGGAGGCGTGCAGTTGAAGCCCTGTGTTCCACTAGGAACCCAAGGGAATAATAATAAAAGAACAACTTACGGGCATAGTATAACATGCGTTCTGTAGTCGTTGTTTTACCAGCATCAATATGCGCGATTAAACCAACATTTCGAATTGTTTCAATACACGAATCAACATTGTGGAGTTTTGATGGTTGAATACTGCCGACGCGTTGTTGGTGTATATACGCCAGACAAGTAGGCTTACCAATTTGACAGGCCAGTAAATTTGACCAATTTCCAGACGGTAGTAGACGTAAGAAGTACTTCTTGAGTAACATTTTGAATAGTTGTTGTATATCAGGTCACTACTAATGCCAGTCTCCTCCGCATTTCTTTCACAACTGATAAATAAATAAATTGAAAGCGCAAAACAATAACAACAATAAGAAATTGGTATTAGTCAGTAACAACCAATTATTATTATTATTATCTCAATTGTAACACTCTAAAATCTCAGACTAAGTGACTTCTATAATTTTAAAGTGAACAGTTCCTAAGATATTTAACATTCATCTCTCTATATAGTTGTGTTATCCATTAATTCAGTAGTAAATACACCTACATATCAGAGCGAGAGAGAGATTTATAGAGTCAGTGAAATGCTTCTTACTACAAAGCATAAAAGTCATGACACACCAAGAACCAGGGGAAAATTTCCCCAAATATGCTCCTGTCCATCCAAAGCAAAATACTAAGCCGCATCATCCTGCAGAGAGAATCAAACACGCCGACCTGGATGAAAAACTTCGATCGGAACAGGTTGGCTGGATTCAGGAGAAACAAGTCATGTATTGATCAGATCGCCACATTACGGATCATCATTGAACAAAGCGTTGGAATGCCAGTCAGCTCTCTACCTCGCTCAACTTCATCGACTTTGAAAAGGCCTACGACAGCGCAGGGTCGATCGAGAGGTGATTTGGCAGCTACTTCGCCACTATGGGGTGCCACCGACAACTATACATCTCAGCCAACAGCTGTACGACAATGCTGCATGCCAAGTAATCCACAACGGCAAATTTACGGAATCCTTCGAAGTGAGGACAGGAGTAAGACAAGTCTGGTTGGCTGCCTACTGTCGCCAATGATTTTCCTGATTGCAGTAGACTGGATAATGCGACAAACAGCAGGGCAGGCAGCGAGGAAACAGGCATAACATGGACTCACACAAAAAGAGACTTGGAGGATCTGGACTTCGCCTATGTGATATATATGTCTGATTTCCCACAAACTGGAAGACATGCAAGCGAAAAGTAACAAGTCGGCAGAAGAAGCATCCAGAGAAGACTGGACTTCAGGTGAACATAGAGAAAACAGAGGTAATGAAGATTCCTGGACAAGAACAACAACAACAGACAACGATCAGCATAAATGGAAGGAACCTGAAAGAAACAATCTCATTTACCTACCTGGAAAGCATCGTTTCAACTACAGGCGGACGGGAATGACGAGGATATTAAAGTAGCGAGGATCGGAAAAGCAAGACAAGCTTTCACTACTCTCAAGTCTGTGTGGAGGTCAACAGACAGCAGCACTCAGCATCAAAAATAACATCCGGATTTTCAACTCCAATAAGTGAAGTCAGTCAGTGCTACTCACTATACGAATCAGAGACTTGGCCAGCGCGTCATAAGGAGCGCCTCAAACAAACTACAGACCTTCATCAACAGCGAGTTGTCTTCGCTCAATACCACTCAAGATCAGATGGCTGGCGAGAAAAGGTCAGCAACAGGAATCTCTGGGAGCGAACCAACTCAGTAGGAACCGATTGTGAAACAAATGGGCAGGAAGAAATGGAGATGGATTGGCTGGCCATACTCTGAGAAAACAAACCATCAAGTGACATCACTAGACCAGCCATTGCTCGAGTGGAACCCGAAAGGGAAGCGGTGAGTTGGTCGACAGTGCAAGGATGACTTAGAGGAGGTCATATGAAGAGGAGATGAAGGCATGTGGGCAGACTTGGTTGAGGCCAGGTGAAGACTCTAGCAGAGGACCGAACGCAATGAAGACGCACGCCTGAAGCTCTATGTTCCTCTAGGAATTAAAGCAAGCAATAATAATAAAAATCATATATATGGAGCACGGATCCAAAAAGCTCGGACTGCCTCCGCTAGCTTACACCATCTCTGGCGTAGGCGTGACATTCGACTATCAACCAAGTTACGTGTGTACCGCTCAACAGTTCGCTCCGTCCTTCTCTATGGCTGGCTCTGAAACATGGCCAATACGAGTTGAAGACATGAAAAGGTTGACTGTTTTTGATCATAGATGTCTACGATCTCTTTCTCACGTTAGGTGGCATAATAAGGTAAGTAATGTTGACGTTAGGTTAGGCGTAGAGTGTTGGGCAAAGAGGGAAAATCAACCGACGATGGCTAGGTGACGTGCTGCGCATGCCTAACCATCGCCTCCCCCTCCCGACGGGCATTACTAGCTGATATATATGTGCAGGTTGGAAAAGAGTAAGCGGTGCCATGCCAAACAAAAACATGGCCTCATCAATCCATGAAATCCTTGACAGTTAAACTGAGTCAGTCAGGTAGGGAGGGAGATGCAGACTTCCGGGTTGGGGCCCGCCCTCGGGACTCTAAGAATCAATGGCTGGAGACAGACAATAGGTGACATGGCTCAAAATCCTTGTCAATGGCTTACGCAGATGTATTCAGTCTCTGTAATCTTTCATATTCCTTTCTACCATTACTCATTCTCTTTCACTCTTATACTTGTCAAAACTCTATTGATTGATTCTCTTCACTCATCCATTTTCTTGTTTATCTTTGTGTGCTAATCGGAACGTGGCAACTCGAAGTGCTGCGCTTCGGTGCCAAGTTCTATGTTGAATCCAGACAGCCAGTTACAATCATATTATCTCAATTGTAACTCTAAAGTCTCAGACTAAGCGACTTCTACAATTTTAGAGTGAACAGTTTCCATGCGACATTTAACATTTCGCATTAACATCTCTCTATATAGTTGTGTTGTTATCTATTAATTCAATAGTAGGAAATACACCTACATATCAGAGAGAGAAAGATTTATGGTGTCAGTAAAATGCTTCTAACTAGGCATAAAAGTGGGTGCGTACTGATGAAGAGTCCCAAACTAGGGCGAAACAGCTGTCCAGTACTCCTCGTGGCAGGTTTTCGAATAGTTCTCTAACCAATGTCAGTTCATGATGAAATCCTGTAACCAATCAACCAAATCCCTACAAACCAATACTTGAAAAGTCATGAATTCGAGAACCAGGGGAAAATTTCCCCAAATATGATCAGCACATCAAGCATTGAAATCAACTTCATGCATCCTTAACAATCGAAATCAATGTCAATACTGATTTTCAAGTGTTGGTTTGTAGGGATTTTGATTGATTTGTTGTTACAGGATTTTCATCATGGGCTGCTGGCATTGGTTAGAGAACCATTGGAAAACCTGTCACTGGGAGTACTGGACAGCTGTTTCGTCAGCCTAGCTCGGGACTCTTCATCAGCACACACCCCTCTGGTTACAAGGCGAGCTAGCTCGTATACCATTAAGCCACTGGAAACATGATGAAATCCTGTAACCAATCAATCAACCAAATCCCCCCCCGCCCCTACAAACCAACACTTGAATATTGATGAGATGTTCACTAGCGGTGACTTGTCCTATTCAGGTAGGTAGTAGTTACCTGGGTGGGTTCTAGTGAGAAGTCGTGACCAGTAGGGTGCGCAGAAGGTCGGCTGTGAGGACATATACTCGCCGAAAACATTGGCTAGTGCCAGTCGCGCTATGTCGTCCGTGAATTGACGGAAGTTAGAATTCATGGGACATTGGATAGGGTTCTAGTGGCTTAATGGTCGACGAGCTAGCCAGCTCTCTGGTCTTGTAACCAGAACGTGGTCCTGGGTTCGAACCCCTATGATGGGTGCGTACTGCTGAGGAGCCCAAAACTGGGACGAAACAGCTCTCCAATACTCCCTGTGGAAGGTTTTCCAATGGTTCTCTCTAACTGATTGATGTCAGCTCATGATGAAATACTGTAATCAATACTGATTGATTAACAAGTACGTGCTGCACAATAGAAGAGGAATTGTTTCTTCTGCCTTGCTTAAATTCGCTTATTATTTTCTACTGACGCCAAAGGCTTATGCTACCAATTTAACTCTTAATCAGTTAATTTGAATGACTAACTATTTGACTGCAGATTTCACTGTGATGATGTGCAATAGATATTTTAATTCGAATATACGTATATGGAGTTGAACAATTGGTGTGTTCACCTGCTACGTAAAAAGGAAAGAAGATGGGAAGTTAAACACACTAGTGTGAGTTTACAGGAAACCCACACATTCAAACAGATATTCAGAGTTCCGATCGTCCCATCCTGTCAGTGAAAATAAGATTGGTGAAATGTTTAAATGACAGAGCACAAAAACTAAGTAGTACCAAAGAAAATTTAAAACAGGAACTGATTCACATAAAAGAAGCTTTGAAACTTAATAACTACCCTGATAAATTAGTCAAGAAATATGTAAGGAAATGTAAAAATAAAATAAACAATGATGGTAGCGATAGTGATAATAATAATAATATTAATGACGACACCAACAATAAGGAATCTAAATCATCAGTAGTAATTCCATAAAAAGAAGGAACCTCGGAAACCACCTTACTCAGAATTCTTAACAATGCTGGCAGGAATAAAAGTGGCTGGCATTCAAACCAACCACAAACTCAATTAGAAACAAGCTTTGTCGGTTAAAGGATCAATCCTGCCAGTGGAGCCTTTAAAACAAAACAATTTAGTTTATCTAATACCCTGCAGCTGCAATGATTGTCAGGTCAAATACATAGGTCAAAGTAGTAGAACAGGGGCAGTCAGTCAGACTAGCCTAGCATAAAAAACTAGCAGCGAAATCTAGATTAGTTGACCTGCATAACATAAGAAATCTAGAGAATAGTTCAGCAGTTATCGCAAGCACTACATGCAATGACACACAACCATACAATACGCTGGATAGGATAGGATGACAGTTTTAAAATCGAATGCCATAGGGTGGAGGGAGTGAGAGATTGATAACAACAGAAGCTTTGTTTATCGAATCAACAGGGAGAGAATACATGTAATACGAATGATTCAACACCTGTCCACCCAGATATCCGGAAAATTCTACTACCCCAAAGACGATGACAATTAGGAGAGGACAAAGAAAACTATAAAACTCAAGTTTCGA